GATGATGCGTAGCGTAGCGTTACGATTTGATCCGCACATGATTTGTTTTTCCCGAAGCCAGCCAGCCAGCCAGCCAGTCTGGTCCGGTCGGAATTTCGAATGTACAGAATTTTTAGTCTCTCCAAGATGATACGGCATAATACTTGCTTGGAGTTGACAAGAACAGGAGTATGATTCCGCGCCAGTTCTTGCAAAGACTAAGGTCTCCCTTCTTTGGGAGTTTGACAAGGTACCCCTCCTTCCAATCAACCAGCAGGTACCTTCCCTTCTTTCAAAACCTTCTGTAGTAGTGGTGTGGTGTGAGCATGTCCGCTGTTGTCTCTGCGTCTGTCTTCAGTACTTAAGGCGGAATTCCATCTGGTCCTGCTGCTTTCCCGGATTTCAGTAACTTTATGGCGTTTAGGACTTCTGCTTTTGTCAGAGGGATTGTGTTCACTTGTAGTTCTCCCGTTGCTGTTGGCATTTCCGGACAAGTTGCAGGTGGTGGTCGATTCAAGAGCTTTTCGAAGTGGCTATTCCCATTGATTTTTGTTATTTGGCCTTTTTGTTGGACATCTTTTCATATTCCACCGTTTTCTCTTTACAAGTTTCGTCTAAAAAACCTATGACAAGTACTTGTGTGATCAGATTGTTTGAAATGTGTTACATGAATACGGTACACGTTTCAGACAAATTACCTTATTATTTTGTTGGAATTTAAATTTAATTCAGAATATCAAAACTTTCAAACAAAAGGAAGCAAATACAACTAGCCTTTGATTTATCAAAGCACTAATCAATTACATTTAGTTGGAAATATCAATTAGATGTGAAAAAAGTATCGTAAGTCTGTTAAACTGTGTTTGATCAAATGGTGAAGAGCTCAGTCTAAGAATGTGCACATATCTAACAGAATTAAACAGGTCCTATAATTGAGTGTTCATAGAATGAGGAAAGCGTTAATCAACTGCAAGCTATTCTCGGGATGAAGATGGACCAAAGTCTAACGTTTCGAAAATAAATTTCTCACTTGCTTGAGGTGATTATCACTTATATTGAACAGTAGTAGGATTAATTTTGTTCTAAACGATCTTCCAATATAACGAATTCGCCGAAATGCAATCCTAATCAACAAGAGATACCTGAGGACTGTAAAAACATCGGTAGCAGGCTTAAACTTCATTTTTTGAAGGATAGCGTTTTCCAAGACAAATATTAGTGGCGAAAAACATTCTACACTCACATGGGCATAGTTGTACGCAAACTAAGAAATAAATGCATATTAAGTTCATTTCGACAAGGATAGTCACAATGAATAAATTTTCTTTTTATCCGAGTTTTGTAGTAGTAATTACTGCGTCACCTTCATGCTTAGGTTGGTTAAATCATCTGTCCTTTCACTCAGATGTTTACAAAAATTATAGCTGAGGTGACATCATTCATATCATTAACATTTCTGGAATGATTTCCGCTATTTCGCAAAGCTACCACGAAAAGTACCAAATAAAGGACTATAGAATCACCACTAGTGAATAGTTAACGTCCCAAAGCAACAAATTAAGAAGCACAAGGAAAAGCCCTAGTGGTTTTTTGCGTGAAATGAACAGTTCACTGGCTTGGTGTAAGCGTTCACTACTGTTCACCATAGCACCTATAAATAAAAATTGATAAGATTCTCAGATTTCCGTCCATATGGACAGTCTTCTGCTAACAAATGATGATCAAGACGCACGAACAGCAACACCCGCGCTTAAAATATAAAACTCCAACAGAATTAAAATTGGGTTCGACCAAGCAAATCGATTGAACGTGAGTCCAATATTCATAAACATTAACAGAGTGTATAGTAATGATGGGCAGTGGCTAGAAGTGGAATCCAGGATGCGCATTTCGTCCTATTTAGGACTCGTCGGCTGGATGTACCTGCTTCCCAATGAGTGATGTTGTTCCTACCGGGACTTGGGAGTGATCGCTTCAAACGCGAGAGCGTTATCTACTACACTACCGAACAGCCTCTCGTGCGACGGGTATAGGTTTTAGTGTTATTGCTTGCATTACACCGTCGTCGGTTGGACTGAATTGACCAGTCTCTGTTGGCATATGGGCACCTGTGTAGATGCATCAATACTGCCTGCCCAATGGGAACAACATCACTCACTGGGAGGCAGGTACATTCAGCTGACGAGTCCCAAATAGGACGAAATGCACATCCTGGATTCCACTGCCTATCATTAACAGAGTGCTTTTAATTTCCTTCCATGAACATGTTAAGTGAAAGATAACAAGGTGACTGTGGCTTCACTTCATGAAGCTTCACCGTGTATTTTGTCCAGCAGAGAGTTTTGATTATCGTAGTTACCAAAGATGATGATGCATAGGTTAACACTGATGAGTCTGAAAATTCTAACTCGAATAGTCAACGAAAATTACCAAAATTAATTCAATTCAAACTGGTAAATTGTTTGTTGAAAAAGCTGTCAGTCATACTTGTGTAACCAATAAGAATGTTATCGAACTGCCGTGAGCGAAGGTGAGACGAAGTGCAATTTGATTTCACGATCAGCTGCTTGAAAGCTAAATGGATCATAGTCTCACAATTACTCTACTGTAATATACACTCATACTTTTAGTCATTACGTTTTATTTTGTCAGGCGTAGGATTACTTATAATGAACATTTTGATTACAATCATTTGAGTTAACGTATCAGAAACTGAAGGACGAAACTACAGAGGACATCTTCACGTCAGCCATCAGAACAAAATGGGAGGTATTGAGCAACATTCCTGAAGAAACCTGTGTGGGTGAACACTGGAACTCTTTGAAAGAGATGTGGAGGGAAATCTGCATAACCGTATTAGGAAGGAAGAAGAAGTAAGACGAGGGATGGATCTCGACGGACACATGGAAGCTGATAGAGGCGGGAGAGGAAGATGGTGAAGCAGAAGGTGAACCAGTGCAGTGCAAGGATGCACAAAGCAAAGAAGAACTGAGTACAACGTATAAAACACTACACTGGACAAAAGAAGTGGAGAAGAGTGCGCGGAAAGACACTTCTATGACACACTTCCAAGTGAAGCAGAACAGGCTGCTGTTAGGAGAGACCGACAACATTATGTGGAAAAACCAGGTTACTATCGCTCTGAGAAGAGATCAGTGCAGGTGAAACCAATGAGAGATAGTGAAGGGAAGCTAGTTACCGAAGAGAAGAAACGAAGGGAAGGATAGACTGACCACTTCGAAAAGCTCTTGAATCGACCACCGTCACGACCTGCAACTCGTCCAGAAATACCACCAGCAGAGAGGCCACAGAACTACCAGTGAACACAGGCCCTCCGACAAAAATCCTGAACACCATAAAGTTGCCGAGAGCTTGGAAAGCAGCAGAACCAGATGATTTATGTCTAATGTCGCACAAACTCGAAGGTGTACAGGCGAAAAGTAACGAGTTGACAGAAGAGGTGAGGCAGCAAAAACGTGACTTGCTTCAGGAGGACGTAGAGAAGACACAGGTGATGAAGATATCCAACCAACAACAACAATCACCATCAACCGGAGAAATCTAAACGAAGTTATCTCTCACACCTAGCTGCCGAACTACATTGGCAGCATCGTTTCAACTACAAGCGATAGATGAGGATGTCAAAGTCAGCCAGGATAGAAAAGACAGCAAGACAAGCCTTCCTGCATTAATCTGAAATCAGTGTGGAGATCTACTGCACTGCATTCAGCATAAAGCGTGAACAAGATTCGGATTATCAACACTAATTCAATCAAGTCAGTGCTTCTATGTGATGGTTGAGAGACTTGACGTGTTACGGTAAGCATTTCCAAGGAACTATAGACATGTATGAACAGCTGTCGCCTACGCTCACTCGATCCTGAAGATCAGATGGCCAGAATAATAAGAATAAGTGAGGAGGAACTCTGGCTGGCTGTCTGGCAACGAAGCAACCAAGAACCTATCGCCCAACAAATGCGCAGAAGAAAGTTGGGATGGATTGTATTGGACATAGACTGAGAAAACGGTTTTGGGACATGACGTGTCAGGTCAGAGCGAGTGGAACCCGCATGGGAGAGGACGAGTTGGACGTGTAAAGGTGATATGGAGATGGTGTGAGGATGAAATGAAAGCTTATGGGCAGTCGTGGAGCCAGGTTAAGAAGACTGCAGAGAAGAGAGTAAAACGGCGACGTGGTACTGAAGTTGTATGTTCCACTAGGAACCCAAGGGAGAAATAAATAATAATAAGAACACCTAATAAAACATTCTGTTATGTAAAATATAGCACAAAGATGTGTTACCATTTAACCGATAAATCATGGGATTCAGTTTCTATAACAAGAAGTATTTATTCAATCATTATTTTCCTATTTCGACAGACAAGAAACATGATCGACAGATACACAAAGCGACATGTCGCATTCCCCATCAAACTCACTCCTTGGTAGTATAGTGTTAGTGTAGAAAAATACATATGCATACACATTGATTGTCAATCACAAATCAAGACAAACACTGTCCGAATATACGGCTACACACATCTGTTTACTGTTATTAAAGTACTCACAATAAACAAAAAGAAGGAAGCGAAATTATTGACACTAGTTAGTGTGTACAGGAGATAAGTCATTCTCTGTTGTCAAAATTCTTCCCAAAGTGATAAGAAAAAGATTAGGGTATGCAGTATGTATCTCTATCTGAAAGACACAATATAAGGAAACAACAACAGCAATGATACTTAGAATTACATACACAGGAGAACAACACAATTGCATGTGTAACAAGTATACACCTTAGATCACAGTTAGTCAAGTATTAATATAATAATTAATGATATAAAAAGAAAGACAATTAAAAAAAAGAACTCAAAATACGATGGAGTACTGTGTGATAAGTGTTTGTGTAGAAAAAGAAAAAATCACAATCACAATTTCAATATAAAAAGAATAGAATCAAGTTAAACAGACAAATGATAAAAGACAGTTTGACTGAATAGAGTGAAAAGAAGAGTGATATACTTTACAGTTCAATTGTCAACTGTTTGAATAGATTTATTAAGCATAAGTTACATGATTGTACTGTCTCTTGAGATATTGACCGGATATCCATTCGAACTGAACCAGTAGTAAACTATATACAGGGTAAACGTGAGAAAATTTAAAAAATAATAATAATAATAATCAAGTTATTCATTTTAAAGGTATGTGCAGATTTATTTACTGTTTTTTATTTGGTATTCGACACAGAATAATATCAGTTAGAGAATCACAGAAAACCTCGCGTAGAAGTGTATCGACTCAAGTTTCCACATTTCCCAGCAGAATACAAAGAATAGGTAGATAGAAAAAGAGCAATATCAAAGTAGGCGAAATTCTATGAAAGTAGTGCTCATATTCAACCTTTAGATATCAAGGAGCGAATAAATTTGCACTATTGTAACCGATTTTCAACCATGTCACCAAGAGTCCTCAAACACTTAAACCTTTTGTCTCGGGAACCCCAACCAGGCAGCCTACATCTTACAACACAGCTCACGTCAACAGAAAGAGACTGGTGCCAGGTCTCGGTCTGGTCGCCCTGAATCCTCTTCTAACCTAATCTAACTTCCCGTAGCGTGGCACATCGAAGTAGGTGGTGGCTCGACATGCGAAGTACATGTGCAAGTCATCTCAGACAACTAAGGTTCACAGTATCATCACTCAACTTGCCTGTCTCGCCTAGTCCTTTTCACCTGACCTCAACATTGTTTACACGTTGATTCCATCACACGTAAGCAATGCTACCAAGACATCTGTGATCAAAAGTTTCCAACCACTTCATGTCATCTACGCTAAACGGCCATGTCTCACAGCCATACAAAATGACAGAACAAACTGCCGTGCAGTATACTCGCCCTTTGAAAGATAGTCAGATATATCGCCAGTCGGCGCCACAGTTAGTGCAAGTTGGCTAATGCCAAACGAGCCTTCTCTATCCCAGCTGGATTTCATCGGCAACCATCGCGTCTGGACTGACACAACTCCTCAAGAAAGTAAAGTGATCGATACATCCCACCTCTTCACTCCCTACCCTCAGACTGGGAGTAATTGCAGCAGACCAGTCCCGAAGCATTTGTCAGGTGTGAAACTCATACCAAACATACACAGATTGCACCTCAACGCGTTTAGAAGACCCTGTATTTTGTCAGTCTCTTCACCTAACAGGATAATAACGTCTACATAATCCAAATCAACCAGATGAATTCCAAGGAGCAGGTTAATCCCTGTGAAGTCAGGCATACCTAAGGATACATCCATTAGTACGCCTATTACGAAGTTAAGTAGGAACGGTGACAGTAGGCATCCCTGGCAGGCAACACTTGGTGTCGTCAATATTGAAGAAAATAACTCTCCATAAATCCGCACACACCTCTGTGAGTTCGAGTAAAGAGTTTTAATTGGCGTTACATACTTGCTCGGTACTCCTTTCACAGTCGAACACTGTCACAACATCTCACAGTCGACTGAGTTAAATGCCTCATTCACATCAAGAAATATATATGGCAAATGTCGGCAACTGGTCAGTACGTATGCCTGTGTTCCAGGACCTGTCGGAGGGTCGAGATCTGATCGATGTGCCCTCGTCCACCTCTGTCTGAAACCTGTCTGGTTGTCTCGAGTTTGAAGTTGTCGAGCTCCAGTTAGGGATCGGATAACTATGGGACCTAGGATCTCGGACACAATAATAGTCAAACTAATTTTCCTGTGGTTGTCACAAGAAAACTTCTCTCCCTTCTTACAGACTGGGACAATCAGACAAGTAGACCAGTCTGACGGAGCAACCTCTGATTCTGATGCACTACCACCTAGTACCTCTGTCTTCTTCTTGCTGGTATCCTGAATAACCCTAAAAAGCTTCCGAGTGTTACCAAACACTGATACCTTGTCTATCTCTCTTTCGCCATCCACTACTGCTTGCGACCACTGCGAAGACTCTTGGTAAACTTACGTTTGAGTTGTCTCCGCTCTTTATCATAATCACAGCTAACTGGAATGTGTCTTCTCACATCAATCAGTTCGGGTGATGTCGCGAAAATCCAATGGCGTTTGCTAACCTTCATGTGTAGGTTACCAATTGTCTTTACCGGTGTTTACACACTAGACTTAATATTAGGCCAGGTTTCCTCAGGATGAGCATTGCTGTAATGTCCAGATGAATGCTTAGCTATCTCTTCTCTAAATTCCGACTTGACGTTCTCATCTTCCAATCGACTATGGACAGATTTCCCAGTCACCTATTTACTGAGACCAGTAAGGCATAGACATACACGAGCCAATACCAGCGCGTGATCGGAGTCGAAACAGGTACTCAAGAAAAAGCGGCAGTCGTTCACCGATCCTCTCCAACGATGGCTGGCTTATAGCAATGTGATCTATCTGTGTCCAATGTTGGTTTGATTTTGGCGACTCCATATGAGACAGTGTCTCTCTTTATGCTGAAAGTTAGTGCTAACCAAAAACAAGTGATTGTCGGAGCAAAGTTGCAACAGACAATCAACCATGTCGGTTCGTTGGCGTAGGATTCCGTGAGTACCTCCAAGATGCCTTTCCCATTGGCTCAGCTTCTCCTACTTGAGCGTTAAAGTCACTTTTCATTATGACTACACTGGAACGTTTTGCTTTCTGCAGCAAGTCGACAATTTCTCATAGAATTCACCCTTTGCATCATCTGAGCTACAATCAGTGGGTGCGTAGGCGAAGATTACGAATAGGCATCGCCTAGTCTTGTGACATAGCACGACATGGCATAGAATTCGGACATTGAGGCCTCCTACATGGAATCGATAGCTGGGTCTTATAAGACTAGGAAAAAGGTTTTGATGGCTTTGATCATTGACACTGGTTGCAGATCGAGAGGTTGGGTAGGGCGAAAGAGGTTCAATATTAGTATCAAGAGGGGAAGGCAAAGGAGAGAGAGAGTTGAGGAGGATAGGTTACGTTTGACTGGGTCTTATGCACTACTGGAAGCGTGCGGGCGGTTGACACTTCCCCGCTACCCCCACCATGGAAGGTTATATCTTCTTAACGCACTTGGAAGAGAAAAAGACTTTTGTGACCTCAGAAAACCTGGGAGCAAAGTATCAGTAGTAACGTGCTGGTCGCGGAACTTGAATGTCCTGGGTTTAATCCCTAGCGGGGCCATGGGTGCTTACTGTCGAGGAGTCCCAGTGCTTCAAGTCCTCGATGATTCTCGAACTGATGTCAGTTCCTGATGTATACTAACATGTAATCAAGTTATTTTCAGTACCTTTTCTACATTATGTACTTCCAATGAAATCTTGTCATATCCAGGTGAAGTTGTTTACTAATATATATTAATTTTGTAGATGGGGATAAGTTTGAATTCAACGTAGTATTAGTTATGGAATAACATCAGTTTGAAGATCATAGAGGAACTAGGAGAATTGGATAGCTGTTACGTTCTAGTTTAAGGCTCCACAGCTGTGTACACCTATGATCCTGCTAAGGCTTGAGTTCAAGAATATGTATACGTCCAAATCAATTTACAAATACAGCCACATGTAAAAAGAAAAGACAATACACTTTTTAAAGTAACAATAAATGGGGAAAAATGGCTTTATTCATGACGAATAGTAGTGAAATTTATGATAAATATGAAAGGAATTCTTTGTTTTATGTCAATGGATGATAACTAGTTCGACAAGTGATGGAATGTTATATCCTTTGAAACATCATAAAGGTGTATCTTCTTAAATGAACAACACTATTCCCATCCACTTTGAATCCAAACAGTGTGATAAGGATGAAGGAAATTTCATACGATGAAAAATGAAACATGCGATTAATTCATTAAAATAACAAACATCTGAAGAATATATTTTCTAACCTCAGATCTTTCAGACAACAGAAACTTATGGCTGTATATATGTAAATAGATCAGCTCAAAATCAATTTCAATATGATAAAAAATTCTTCATTATTTACTTCCATTGCAAAAAATTGAATTTGTCTTTTATACAATGACTATAAACTTTCGAACTGTAATGAAAACTTCACTATTGTACCGTCTTCAGCACCATGGAGCTAGTCAGTTATTTAGTTGATACAGATTGTGAGCAAATATGAATAATCGTTAAGAATAGTTTAACAAAAGAGATATGCTTATTCAATTTATAAAAATATTAAGGATTAAATAATATAAACCATAGCTAATAGAAGCTAGGAAACAGTTTATGAATTAAAAACTTACAGATATTTTCATTAAAATGCATAAAGGCTCTTTAAGTAGATTATCTTCTGTATAGAATGAAGCAGCGCGATTATCCAGTAATTCAATAACTAGAATAATTGTGTTAATACAAAAATGAATAAGATAGTAAATAGTCAGTGAACTTTGTAGGTAACGTGAACAAGACTCATTTTAAGATATACACCTATAGATTTTGATAATTTAGGAAAATTTCACTTTCAACTACTGTCATTTCTTTATTGCCTAGTAAGACAATTTTGTAAATAACCACAAAAATGCTGCTTTATAAGTGTCAATTACATGTTATGATATCTTAACCTGCAAATATCATGTTCAACAGTTCAATATTCAACAATTTATGATGGATACTATGAAGTGACCAAATTCTACAGCCATGAGCGGTGAATAAAATATTTTCATTCAGCTATCCTTGAGAAAATTCTTTTGTATTCCTCATGTATATCTGAAGATTATGTAAAATGTAGTAGAGTTCAATATTAGTTTACATGAACACTTTGATCTACTATTATGTTACCGAAGTATTGGTTCACTGGGTTTTTTTCACTTCCTGAACGATATTCACATTTATCAATGACATATTCACCTACATTATTATTTTTCCTTTATTAAAAATAATTATCGGTCAAATGAAAGGTTGTGGCTAGCAGGAAAATCCAGGACGCGCGTTTCGTCCTATTCTGGGGACTCGTCAGCCGCACGTACCTGCACCCCAGTCAGTGATGTTGTTCCCACCGACACTCGAACCTCGTATCCATCACTTCAAACGCCAAGGCCTCATTCACTATCCCACGGAGGAACGATAGCCACTTCTCGTACAACGGCTAGTAGTTAGCACTATTTATTGATATATACTTGTAATTCTCCGTTGTTTTACTGGATCGCATTGTTCGACCTCTATTGGCATATGTGCTGGCTGGTATGCGGATGCCTTAATATTGCCTGAATGTCAATTATGGTATTTTAGTAGGTTGTGGCTAGTAGAGGAATCCAGAACACAATATCAAGGTATCCGCATAGGAGCCCATATGCTAATACAGGTCGAACAATTCGAACCAATAAAACAACGGAGAATTACAAATAAATAAATGAATAGTAATTACGATTATTATTAGAAATAGCCCTAAACAAAGATCGACTGCAAACTTACTACAGTATGTACCATAAATTAATTCATCGCGAGACATCAATGTAAAAAATATGAAGAAATTACGCTTCAATGCAAATTAATATCACTTGACTTTATGACGGAATAAGCATAGATAAACGTGCTACTGTTGTGATAAGTCTGCCAACTTACACTCTCATAAAATCAAGATTTCAATTTCTTTAGCGATAACTTCATCAGATGAAATCCCGACATAAGGATAAACGACACATTTGGAGTGGCACACAAAAAAACTTCAGCACTTTTTAACATTTGTCATAATGACGGTGAGATACCTGACTAGCTGTCGAAAGACCAGTATACTGCGCAACAGTCTATTTTGCTCCATTTTGTCGCTGAGACATATCCTTGGAAGATGGGAGATATAAGGAGGCTATAAGGCTTTAATCGTACGGGTCTTCGTAACTCTGGTGAAGCGACTACGTTAGCAACGTTTAAGTTATATACATTCTACCAAGCAGAGCATGCAAGTCGATCGATGAAGTTATGAACTTTCAGAAACTGAAATGGTTTAGATTATTGTTGCGCATTTCGAGGCACCACGTACTTTGATGTGTAATGTCAGTCAAAGTAGGACTGGGTTGGAAGAAAGCTACAGGTTGTCAGACCAATTCAACAACTATTTGACTGCTGATGTGAGATGTGGATCGTCCGACTAGGGTCCTCAAGACGATAGAAATCAGTGGTTGCAAACCATTGATCATATGACTTGAAATTGACCACAATGGCACAGATGTATGCACCCTTTGTCTTCTTTAAGGTCTTGAATATTTTCAAGTACTTTCATGTATTTATTACTCTTTTTTAATAGCTCAATGTCACTCATTTTCTATCCGCCTCTTGTTTGCATACTGCCATAAAGCGTGGCTACTTGAACTGATACATTTCAGTATGAGGTTGTATGCTGATATGCCTCTATGCTTCAACTAGCTAATTAGCATGACGCTGTAATGCTGTGCACTTAATATCACACAACACATGAATTTAATCAGAAAATCGGTTCACATCAGGTTTCGAGCGACAGTTCCATTCTACAAGGAGTTAGAAAATATTCAGATAAACAATATGGTGATCAACTATAAAGATTCGAGTTGTATCAGAAAAAAAGCATTTCTTTAAGGTTACAGTAACACTAGTGATTGATTATCATAGAGATTTATAAAGCGTTTTCACAGTGATCCAACGAAACCTCTGTTGTGAGCACTTAAAATGTGTCTTCAATAAGTCTAGTATTTCTTCGTTTCTTTGATACGATGAAAATAAACAACCACAAAATTGATAATTATTGACGTGGTTTATACGACTTTGCTTACTTGAGCATGGAACTTTCTTCTCAAGCATAGATATGATTTGAGTAAAAATTTTGTTCGTGTTTATCAATGATGATGAATTATGCTTTACTGATGTACGAATCAATGACAACAGGCTAGGACATTGAATTTTTGTAGATTGGGAAGCATTCAATTTACCAGAGGATAAAAGGGTAGTAAATTTCTCATTGTTCATTGTTGAAGAAATACAGTATTGACTTTTAGACACAAAAGTATTGTTGGTTATTAGTTCATCATATTGGAAAGATGATATTGAGCTGTCATGACACTGCAAAGTATTACAAAAAGATGACGATGATAAATTATTACCACAGGTATTGAGTGGCTCGTTTTTATTTAAAAAAAGGATTGCTGCAATACTACAACTTAATTGATATATGGGCAATTTATGCAATAGTAACCCATTAGATTCTAAGCGTGTTCACCTTGCACAATCACTGGATTATGGAGATTTAAATCCTAGATAGCCTTTGCATTATAAATCTTTATGGCATTATTGAGTCCAACTACTTATATATTGGGTTGATTGATAATAACGACACAAACTGATCATCCAAAAATATTATTACGTTATGAAAATAAAATTTTATAGTTTCTTGTAAAACTACATATTCATTTTATAGAAGTGCTTTTCACCCGACTATCACCTCCTACGACAGCCATTTACAAAGATATGTCAGCTTGATTGAAACGACATGCTCTTAGTTTGAAACAGTACTCAACGTATTTTTACTCCAAACTACTGACCCAACTGATAGCCGCTACCTTGGCGTAGTCGCCTAGTTTGCATTTCACAATGACCCAAAGCGCAATTCTGGCAGAACACTTCTTCCGAAGAGGTCCTACCATACCAAAAAGGTCTGTTGGATAGTGATTAGATGCAAAGCAGTTATCGTTATGGTGTCAGCTGTTACACTATGATGGAGGTCTCAGGGCAAAGTCGTACAACTGCTCACTGGATGGGGTGTGTGACAGCAGTAAGGTGTTTCCCAAATATCACCACTCTTTCTATGGCATAGTCGACAAAAATAAAATCAACATACCTGATAATCGTTATTATTATCTCGACTAGAAGTTAGGGATGTCTTGGAATGTGTTGTCTTCGATGATTTCTTAGACTGTTTCATATCGGAATCAAATGCTATGTAACCAGAACGAGGTGTTGCTTCATCAGCCTTATCATGATCCAATAAATTGTTATTATTGAAATCCTCTGATAACTCTAATTTATGGACTGATTCATGATGATTGACTTTTTCTTTACCTTCTTTATCCGTTTCCTGATTCTTGAAAAGAAATAATAATTAAAGCAAGAAAATGATATGATATTTAAACGAAAGAACAGTAGACAACTAATTTGCCAGTGACATACATGATTCTAGTCAGAATAAATTACCTAGCGCTTTGATGAGCTACACTTCGATTCCAATTATTATGAAAGTATCGAATGGCAGATTGTGCGTATCTGTGTATCTACAAGTTGAGTCGCAAACGCACTGAACTGGAAACGTTGAATACGATATTTAACCATCAGTAGAGTATAACTAAGAACTTCGATTGTTAGTTACATTCCAGTGAAAATATGCGCTAAGAAAGTTGAAAATGAATTCAAAATAGTTAGAATTCAGCGGGAAATATATCACATATCGATTGGAGGAGTGATGTACGGTTTAGCGCGAATCGCTGACCCACCAACCACTTTGTACTCAGTCAACTGTGTGTCGGACATAGTTTAATTAAAGTGGATGAAAAGAAACACAGATTATTACATTCGCTAACATGGACAGTTAGTTACTCTTAAAAAGTATATTTTTTTCAGACACTTTCTCCACAGTTTTATCTTCTCATTGTACAACGTATTTACGAACAATGGAGATCTACTGCACTGTACTCAGCATAAACCGTGAACAAGATCCTGATTTTCAACACTCAGTCAAGACCGTGCTACTGTATGGTTCAGAAAATTGCCACGTTACAAAGAGCATTTCCAACAAACCACAGACATACATGAACAGCTGCCGCTTACGCCCACTCGATACGCAAGATGGAGATCGGATGGTTGGGAAGAATAAGCAACACGGAACTAACTCTGCCTGGCTGCCAACGAACCAACCAACCAAAAACCTATCGCCCAACAAATATGCAGAAGAAGAAAGTTAGGATGGATTGGACATAGACTAAGATGGTTTTGTGACATCACGCATCAGGCTAGGCCAGACCCTCGAGTGGAACCCGAATGGGAAAGAATTGTGTAGGGAAGAAATGAAATCTCTTTGGGAGTCGTGAAACCAGGTTAATAACACTGCAGAAAAGAGAGTGAAGTGGCAACGTGCTACATAAGCCCTATGTCCCACTACGAACCCAAAGGACAAATAATGATGGTAGTAATAAAATCCCTGATAGATAAATGTAGAATAAACATTATATTGGTTACTACGATGCACCGAACAGACACTGATAAAATTATTATAGACTATAAGAAAATTACACATAGAGTTTAGTCAGTGACAAAATTAATAAGATATAGATTTACTTCTGGGTTCATTTATAAAAACATATTGCATTTCTTCAATTTTACCAACTATATTGAGGCAGGTATTCCCACCTGATGAGTCCCTAACAGGACGAAATTCGCATCCCGGATTCCACTACTAGCCACTATTCATCTTTACTAAATATTGATATATTCTTTTAAAACCTATGTCCTGAATTATATCAAAAGTTGATTTTCATCTTACATATGTTAAAATTCGTAACCAAGACATCCAAGAAAGTGAGAGACTTTTTTCAAGTGTATGAAAATGTTAAAGACATGTAAAATCATTTGATTTATATTGTAAAAGATCCGATAGAACCAATTAAGCAAAATAATATAATCTACCAAATTCCATGTAATGATTGTGAAGTCAAATACATAGGTCAAACTAGCCGGTCGGGGTCAGTTAGATTAACAGAACATAGGAATTTAGCTAAACAAAGAACGGCAGACCCCAATAAGATCAATAACCTAGAAAAACACTCGGCCATTGCATTACATTCATTAACACACAACCACACAATAGGGTGGGACAAAACCACTGTACTTAAGTCTAATATAGCTAGGTGGAGAGTGAGATTAATTACTGAATCTTTGTTCATCGAATCCACACCCAACACATGTAATAGGAATGACGCAACACCTATACCAGAGATATGGAAAACTTTACTACCAATCAAAAAACAAAAAAACAAAGAGAGATCAGGTGACAGGACCATAAAATCAGATGTCGAAAGAAGTGTGATTACATTGATATGATTATGAGCAATAATTTATGCTCGAAACGTAATCAATTAAATAATACTGCATCACTGTGTGCTTTATATCAAATCATCATCATCATTATCAACATAGGACCAGGCATTACTGCGTAACGGTCCGAGTTGCCACACCTCATATCAGCACATCAAGTAAAAAGGTAGTGAGGTGAAGGATGAAGATAAGTGAATGCAGTCAAAAGAAATATAAAGTACGAGAAGAAAGGAAAGAGGAGTGACAAAATAGTGAGATTCGGTATAGCGTTGTTAAGATGAGGATAATGTGTGTATACATCTGCGCCACTGACTTCGGTTCTGAGCCATATCACCTAGGGTCTCCAACCACTGGTTCCTCTTGTCCCGTGGACCCCAACCACCTAGTCTGCATCGTCCTACATGGCTTAAACCAACAGTCAGAGACTTCATACATTGGTGCCATGTTTTAGTCTGGCCACCTCGGGCCTTTTTCCAGCCTGAACCCACCTCAGCCAACATTGTGTGACGAGGCAATCGGTGACTAGGCATACGTAGTACGTGTCCCAACCATCTCAGTCGATGAAGGTTCACAACCTCGTCGACTGACTTACCTCTTCTCCCTAAAACTCTACACCTAACTTCTGCATTACTCACATGGTGACACCACGGAATACGTCCTATACTACGAAGGCAACGGTGGTCAAACACCTGAAGCCTTTTTGTATCTCCACTTTCAATGGCCATGTTTCACAGCCATACAGTAGAACAGAGCGGACTGCTGTGCAGTACACGCGACCCTTAATAGACAAACGAATATCACGGCGGCGCCATAGGTGGCGCAAATTGGCAAAAGCCAATCGAGCCTTTTGTATCCGTGCAGAAATCTCATCGGCAACTAACCCACCGGGTTGATCCTACTTCCCAGGTAAGTGAAGTGGTCAACACACTCAACCACTTCACTCTCTATTGTTAACCGCGGTACCGCTGAAGACCAGTCCTGGAGCAAAAATTTGCATTTGGGTGGTGAAAATCGCATCCCAAACATTCTCAAATTCCCACTCAAAGTGTTCAGAAGACTCTGCATCTTGTCAGCGTCTTCACCTAACAGGACTATGTCATCTGCATATTCTAGATCTAAGGAAAATTCACCTGTGATCCGGTCAACGTCTTTGTAATTAGGTGACGAGAGGGAAACCTCCATAAGAATATCTATGATAAAATTAAATAAGAATGGGGATAGTGGGCATCCTTGACGGACACCACTTGATGAGTATAGCTCCCTGGACAACTCACCATAGGCTCTAACATGCCCACAAGTGTTCGAGTAGAGAGCTTTCAATAAGGTGATGTACTTACTAGGCACGCCTTTCAGTGACAGACACTGCCATAAGACTTCTCGATCAACGGAGTCAAATGCCGCCTTCAGGTCGAGAAATACAGCTATTGTCGGGCGTCTGTAAGCATGCCTATGTTCCAGGACCTGGCGCAGTGTGAATATTTGGTCGATACATCCACGGCCAGGTCTAAAGCCTGCCTGGTTTTCTCGGGCTTGCTGTTCCCGAGCTCCACTCAGGCGTCGGAGAATTATAGAACTTAGGATCTTAGACACTATGTTTGTCAGGCTGATTCCTCTGTGGTTATCACAAGAGGACTTCTCGCCTTTCTTGAAGACTGGGATGATGAGTGACTTAGACCAGTCGGAGGGGATCGTATTTGATTCCCATATACTGGCTAACACTTCCGTTAGCCTGACTAAGAGAACTCTACCACCATTCTTGTATACCTCAGCAGGTAGTCCGTCTGGTCCTGCTGCCCTTCCCCGTTTCAGGCTACCTACCGCTTTCTCAACTTCTTCTAGTGTTGGGGGACCTGTCTCTATGTCCCATTCAGGGTCCGACTGGATAGCGGGCAGCGCAATGGTGGCTGGAGGCCAGTTAAACTGTTCCTCAAAGTGTTCTGCCCATCGTCCCAGTCGCCTTCCCTGCGAGTGAATCGCCGATCCGTCCTTCTCCGCTATAACCTCACTAACTGTTGTTGACCATTTCCCCCCAGTCTCCTTAATAAGTCTAAATAACTGTCTACTGTTACCGATCGCCGCTGCCTTTTCCATCTCTTTAGCCTTTGCTGCCCACCACTGTTCACGATCGTTGCGCAGACTTTTCGTCAGTTATTTTTAAGTTGCGCTCGCTCTTCATTGTACTCAGAGCCTGCAGGGATGCATTCACGTGCATCCATTAGTTTGGAAGAAGCTGCTGATATCCACTGGCTCTTTTTAGCCATTATCTTGGAGTCGGCTACAGTCTCCAGTGCTGCTTTTACAGTAGACTGAAGATGGCACCAAGCTTCTTCTGGATGAGTGACAGTCTTTTGTTCCGATAACTGCCTAGCCAACTTCTCACTGAACACGGCTTTGGTGTTTTCGTTGTCCAGCAGAACTCGTAGTGGTTTTGTTGCCAAATTTTTTCTACGTCCATTGAGACGCAGGCATATACGTGCTCGGACCAACGCATGATCGCTGTCCAAACACGTACTCCAGAAGGAGCGGCAGTCTTCCACCGATCCTCTCCAGCGATGACTAATAGCAATGTGGTCTATCTGTGTCCATCGCTGAGTCGAGCTCGGTGGACGCCAGGTCAGACAGTGCCTTTCTTTATGTCTGAAATTTGTGCTGGCTAAAAATAGGCGGTTATCTGAGCATAGTTGTAATAGGCGATCACCGTTATCTGTACGTTCAGCTGGGATTCCGAAAGTGCCACCTAAGTGCCTTTCTGCCTCACTCAGTCTACCCACCTGTGCGTTGAGGTCACCTGCAACAACCACTACGTCCGAACGTTTGGCTTTCGAGAGGAGGTTAGACAGTTTATGGTAGAACTCGTCCTTCACTTCATCCGAACTACAGTCAGTGGGTGCGTAAGCAGAGATTACAAAGAGACAACGGCGAGTCTCACTATTCCTTTTAGTTCTCACTGTGCCGTTCAGCCTCATAGCGCAGAGGCGACTATCAACTGGGATCCAG